AAACTCAAGATCAAGGTTGATGAACTTACCCAAAGCTTCAAAACAGAAACAAGGTGACTCTAGGAGCTCTCTCAACAGCCTCATAGTTCAGAGCACACAAGGACACGAAAATGGCACACAAGCAAGGTCCTTTCTTTCCAAAGGTGACTTCTTGAAGCCACATAAGCAAGGAACAATGGCTCCTTCCCCACAAAATAGTGAAGTCAGCCTTCAAGCACTCAAAGACTGAACCTCAAACTCAGAAAATGGCTTACTCACACCCTCACAAGGTTGCCCTCAAGTGTAAAGAAAGCTAAGGAGGAAGAATCTAAGGCAAAAATAGTGTCTTGGAGGTTTTCACATGCATGGAGAACAAGGAAGAAGGTGGAAGAAGTCCACACTTAGAAACTCCACGCAAGAGGCACCAAAAATGACATAGGATCATGTGCCAAGGTCTTTTATAGCCCACTTAAGTCTTAATCGTACTGTATTAGCGCTAATAGCTACGCTTAGAATTTTAATCCCAAACATAGGATTCTGAACTTAGCCATTTTCTAAGATTTTTCATATTTTTATTTTATTTTTCGCATTACTTTTCTGTTACGCGCTTTTACGAAGCATGTATCAGTTCTGCAGTTCTCATTATTTTAACTTGAAACTTGTTATACTAGTCCTATATATTATTATAGTGACATATACATACTTTTCATAATTTTTCGGGATACTTCATCGGTACGCATTTATACCGTGGAGCAGAATCAGTATCTGCACTTTTCGTCAGGAAAGCGACTTTCAACATTATTAATCACTTATCATAATTATCTAAGCCTTCTCATAATTATTAGGGTCAATTATGGAATTATTTCATTAATCTCGTAGTTAATTAATTAATTTCCTTAATTAACGGTGCGGGTTCTTACAGTTTCTCTCTCTAAGCCTTCTTTTCTTGCTATGTATTCTGATGGAGAGAATACAATTAGGATTGAAGGGAAAAGAGAACCATCCCTAATATATATTCCATAACTTTCAATCAGGTTCGCCGATCATATACCAAATCAATGCTTGAGATCAATTGTATCAGTAATTAATTGGGTCACATAACATTTGATAGGTAATATTAAGAGTATAATAAAGTCCTTTAATATTATAATTGACTCTTAATTTTTTAACAATGAGATAATCAAAGCAAGTAATTATAATTTAACTCTTAACTATAGTAAATATATTAAAATAACCTTTGATTATAATTTTCTCTATGGACTCGAGTTTGGAAAGATAATAGCATCTATATATGGATAAATAGATACAAACAAGAATATGATGTGGTTTAAATACTATGGATTATAATTTAGTACATTGATGGTGATCTTCTCATTATGGACTCCTCTAGCCTACCTAACAATGAGATTATATATGATGGTTCAACTAAGCCACCTATGTGGTTGGCTGGGGTGAGTATTTGGATATGATAGTTCATGAAGTTCAGATTTGTTAATTCTCCCAAGCCCATGTTGCGAAGCCAAGTGTTGATTCTTGGTAACCTCATATATATTTAGAAAAAGTTTCTGGTTGACGGTGAAACCAATATTGGACTTGGGACTCAAACTTGAGGGGGAATGTTGAGAGAATTAAAGTATGAGTGGTGAAGTCCCACAATAATTAGGAATGAAATAAGTAAGAACTATATAAGTGGAAGCATCCATAAATATAATGCTTTAAAATTTTGGGTTGAAATATGAAATCAAGCCCACTTATTATAGTGGATTGTCTCTTTATCCGTTAATGATATCTACCCACTAGGGATGTAAATGAGTCAAACAGCTTGTCGAGGGCTTATGGCTTGGTCTATTTTTAGCCTAACTTGGCTTGATTTGTTTTAAGACTTGGCCTTGACTAGGGGTGTAAATAGGCTAGGCTTTGTCTTAAATAAGCCAGGTCTGTGTGAAAACATATTGGATCTGGCCTGGCTTATTAGCCTGTGTATGTCTCAAATTACACGTCTAGCCTGACCTATATTTAGAAAATAAAATTATTAGCCTAGGCCTGTTAACCTATTTAAGCCTATTAAATATTTAACAATTAAAAAAATAACTAAAATAATATTACTTTATTATTCAAAATTATTAAAATAATAATTTTATTTAAAATAAAAAGTATGATATATGCCGACCTGTAGGCTTATAGGCCCGGCACGTACAAAAAAGCCTATGGCCTGTTTTCTAAATAGATTTTAAAAAAAAAAATTTAGGTCTGTTCTATTTTACTATTTATAATAGGTCAAGTCTGACCTAATATAAGCTAGATCGTAGGCCCTTGTAAGCCGGCCTATTCCATTTACACCTTTAGCCTTGACCTCTAATCCTCTAGGCCTGGCCTATATTTTTAAATAAATAACATTTTATTATTTTTTAATAAAATAATATCTTATTTTTTAATATTTTATTATGAAGTAACTTCAGCTATTGTACTATTTTAACTCTCCATCAACTTAAACATGCAAAATAAAAAATGTAACCATATTCTATATTTTACAAAGTGTATACCATTTTTGAAGGATTGGCAAGTTAAGTCAAGCCTTATATTTTTTATTTTTTTGATACATTAGCCTTGTACTTTTTACAAACAAGTCATACCAAGCTTATAATTTGGCATGCTAAGAAGATTGAAATATTTTAAATTAACCTATTTCATTTAAGTTAAAGTCTTGCTTGGTCTGACTCATTTACACCCACCAAGCTGTCAAGGCCTATAGCTTGACCTGCATTTAGCTTGACTTGACCCGTTTTAAAAATAATAGAGGTTTCTCTTTAGAAATCAGGCCACAAGTCTATTTTAGAATGACAGGCTTCTAAGCCTCTAGGTCCGACCTATATTTTTTAATAAATAATATTTTATTATTTTTAGTAAATTAATATCTTATTATTTTTTAATAAAATAAGTGCAGAGTTATATTTACAAACTATAGTATGTATTACAGGTAATACATATTAGTATGTACTACCTGTAATACATAGTGTAATTTGTAAATAAAAAATTTGTAAATATAACCTCTTATTTTAGTAAAATAATATTGGGTTTTATGTTTGTTATGTTACATGATGTAACATAACTTTCGTACACACACAATTTTATGTGGGTCCTATCTCTTGATTCTTCTCTCTCCTTTCTTCTCTCTCCTCTCTCTTCTCAAATGTGTGGATAGGTTTGTTATGTTCCATCATGTAACATAACAAACATAAAGCCTAATAATATTTTGTTACCAAAATAATAATATTAATAATATTTTGCACTGTGGCATAACTTCAGCTATTATACTATTTTAACTTTACATCAACTTAAATATAAAAAGTAATGAAAATCTACATTTTACATATTGCAATACATCATTTTTGAAGATTTGGTAGCTTAGGCCAAGTCTTGTATTTTTTAAAAACAAATTAGATCAAATTTATAATTTAATTTGCATCAGAAAAAGCAAGACAAACTTAAAATATTTTAAATTGACAAAACTCATTTAAGTTAAAGTCTGGTTTAGGGCCGAACTCATTTATACTCCTACTCCCCCACCATAGGTTCCTCGGTCCGCTAACACCTAAAATACAATACAAACTAACAACGAAAATCTATACTACCCTGTCAACTCACATGAAACTCGTTTTCAGTGAATATCCAACTAAATTATCAGACCTACCTATCCACCCACTTGAGATCCATCACACATCAAGATCATCCTTACCACAACCTCTGTAGACCATAATCAAAGTTTACCGTCTAGTAAATAGATTTATGACATTCACGCAATAAAACCACCACAATTGTGAACTTTGTGTGCCGCTGTTTTGTGACCCTAATGATAAGCCATAAACAACAAGTATCAATGCGGTAATACCCATTGCACCTTGAGTTTATCCCTCCACATCACCAAATAATACCAACTACCATGAGCCCTCAAAAATTTCCCTACCTTCGTATCTGCGGCAAAATTCATAAAATCATCAACCTTGAACATAATCACCTTGAGCCAAGGTAATGGATTCTAGGTCAAAGTTTTTGAGTTGAGGAAAATTGTCTTTAAAGACAAGGTTTCTGAGTTAAGAGAAAATTATGTACAAGGATAAAGCTTTTGAATAGGTTACAAATGAAATATGTACTTATTCTGTCTAAATATAATGATTTTACGAATCAATCCTTCTAAATATTTTTTTAATCTTAATTCCTCATTTTTTTAGTCTAATGTCCACCTCAACATCCATTATATATGTTAGGGAAGTATAAAATCATTAATGTAACTTTATCTAATAGTTTAAATTTTTGGGTTGAATTAATTCTTTACAATATCCACGTAAAATGCTTACCCCACATAAGACTCCATGTAGGTAGATAAAATATCTTTTTAACAAAGGAAAAATGGTTTGTGATTTTAAAGAAGATAAATTGTGTCATTTTTATTTTATTTTTTGTATAAAGTTGTGTCATTTTAGCTGCTTATAACTATGTACTCCTTAATCACATAGTTGTAAGCAGCCAAAAGAAACAACTTCTGCTCTTTTAAAAGTACAAAAAGTTTTACCTTTAACAAAAATATAACAAAAGAATCATATGGAAAAGAACAAAATTTTTGGATTCAGAATCACCAAAAAATTATATAAAAGCCTCGGGTGGTTATATTTATACATTAGACAAGAGCAAAAAAAGGCCTACATGCTTTTCATCAAGTTCCTACCATTCTTACAGACTGAGCAGATATAAAAGTCCACAATATTTTATCTTATATCTCAAGAACATTCTTAAAAAATATCTACTATTTTCAGAAACACAGCAATTTCCAGAAAGCATTCTGAACTAACTTGTCTAGTTGTACACCAAATTAATACATTGATCAATGAAATAATTGAACAAAATAAATTTGAATTATTTAGACACACCAAACACAAACAGCTATTATCAATTTATCATCCATGAACATAATAAGGTCAATAAACACTGAGAATCAACTCAAGAAAACGTTAAAAGGCACCCTCTCACTGATATCTCAGCTTCAGCCTAGAGTTTACACTGCGAGGTGTAACATGCCATGCTGGACCAAAGAAGTCTGAGTACATTTCCATGAAGAACTTATCCACAATTTCAAGATATGCAGGGCAAGTGAGTCGAGAATAGTAATGAAGAACCTCTTCAATATCAAGTACATAATCCACATTGCTCATGTCCAACTTCTCCAATTCCCTCAGCTTCTGTTCCACCATGCAATATCTATGTTCTTTCATTCCCATAGAATTGAATGATGAATCTTGCTGCCTTCCCATATTGTTTTTGTTCTCACATTCTTCTCTTTTCTCCACCTGATTCTTCTTCTGAGAAGAAGGGCTTGCATTGGACAAGTTAATGAAGCTTCCATTATAGACCTCATTCTCTTGCTTTGTTGGAGATGACAGTGCAGCTTTCTTCTTGCTTCTTCTCCTTGTTTTCTCTTTCTCTGACTCCCATTGGTCAGTGAAATCAGTATACAACTTCTCCAAGTCATGATAACTGGTGTTGATGTTGGTGTTGGTGTTGGTGTTGCTATTCATGTCCATGACATTGGTTGTAGCAACAGAATAAGAGAAGTGATTGTGGGGAGGAGTTTTTGGAAGTCTTTGGTATCCTGGGGAGAAGAAAGACTTGAAGTTCTTCAGAGTCTTTTGGAAGAACTTCTTGGTGCTGGAAATAGAGCTTCTTAGAAGCATTGGTGATGGCAATGATGTTTACTACTTCCTGTAGAATTAATTATGGATGAGATTTTTCTGGTGGGTGCTTTTGGTGCAGAGAAGGGACTACTACTTGTTGAGAATGTTAAATGTGTCTCTTTTTAGGTTGTTGTTGGTGATGATCTCAACTAAGATTTCTTTATACAGGTGACAGAAGGCAGAGGAGCCATTAAAGGGACTTTGGCTTTTCACTTTGGATGATCAATGGAGTTCACTTTTTCTATCATCGGCTTCCTTTGCTTTTGTTGTTTCTCTTTTGTCTTCACACGCTCCTGTGTTGTCTCTAATTTCTTTCTGCTTCCTAACTGGGACCCCACAACCTCCAAACATGGAAGACTGTGACTCTTTTCCATTATAAATAAGTTTTTGTAAGTTTCGTTGCTTTTACTTTTGATGGTGGAGTTGGTGTGTAGCCTCTTTGGGAAAATGAAAGGTGCGGATGGTTGTTGAATTGTGTCTTTCTTGAACTATTATGTTCCTATATTTTTTGGCATCTTTTCTCCTATTCAGTAATCACTCCTATTCAGTAATCACTAATCACATTACTGTTTTGCCTCTATATTTTGTGGCATCTTTTCTCCTAGTCAGTAATCACTAATCACATTACTTCTTGCCTTAATATATTTTGCGGCATATTTTCTCCTAATTAAAATTACTTGTGGAACATTTAATTAACTAGTATTTGTTAATCTGAGGTTCAGTATTTGCTGTAAAGAATCTTTTCTTTTAACTGATTGTCATGGCTTGGATAAACACCATTCATAATATAAGGCCATTCTCCTCCTTGTTTATTTCCGGTCTTAGACATGCTTTGTCTTACATATTTGGTCAATGGTACTACAGCTATTTTGCACTATTTATTTGAACCCACAATTTCATTACAGATCTTGTTCAACGCAAGCAAGTAGCACTGTGTTAGATTTAGGTCCCATTGGGGTTTTTTGTCCCTTTCTCTTACTTTCCAGCTTAGACAGGTGGTTCTTAGTGTGCCTCTTGAAATTTCTCTAATCATGGTTAATTCTTAGCTTTTGGTTTTGGCCGATTTGGGATGATTATAGAATCTTTATTTATTTACTTATTTACTTATTTACTTTTGATCTAATTGATAGAATCTTTCTTTTAGAAAGGCTCAAAAATACTACATAACTTAATTCATATGGTGGGTTGTTATCGCTTAATATTATAGATTTGCATGATTAAGCAGCAAAGCATAATACCATAAATATTCATGTATACACCTCCATAATCCATCATCACAGTATAAAGAATCAATTCAACCCAAAAGCTTTAGTTATTAGATGAAGGGTACATTAATGATGTTATATTATATCTCTTTAACACGCCCCCTTATACAAGAGTCCATTGAATTTGAAGGATAGACAATATACGGGCTCTGCTTACCTATGCTAAGAAACTTTGTCATTAAGACTCTAATACCATATAAATAATCAATTCAACCAAAAAATTTAAACGATCGGATGAAGATCACATTAATAATTTTATATTATATCTCTACAATACATAGTGCATAAGATTGATGGGTAGGATAAATAAATACATGGAAATAGGTGATGGACTTGGGGTAGGATAGAAATAGTAGGGCTATACATAAGGAAGATAGTTATATAACAGCTAGGTAGTTGCTAGTAGCCAGTTATGTGTAACCAAGAACCTAATAGTAGAAGATGATTGAGAAAAGAGAACAACTGGCCACTAGCCAGGGCCAGGATATTGCATCTGACCAAGACTAACCAACAACAACATCAAATCTGATAAGGATAGTAACAAAGAGCTAGCCTCCAAAGAAAGTTTCAGCAACAATGGAAAATGGCCACGTGTCTCTAGAGTTTGGAACCAGTCTGCATCCCAGAAAATTAGCAAGACGATGCTATTCAACAGTCTAAACTCGTGCTTGATTCTTAAGGATACCATTGATTACACACTTGGCCCTCTATGCCTCCCTTTTCTTTGCACGTGTTCTCAACCACAACTACCCCCTCAGCATCTTTTTGTCTCATCAAGAGATATAATCATTTGCTGATAATAACTTGGTGATTTAGGTACATTCGGCTTCACTATGTCAATCCTTAATAAATTTTAATGTGTCTCCGTTTTGTCTACTCTCCATCTTCACTTTTAAAGTCTTTCTTTCAGAACATGTTTTTTGTGTATATATATAATCAATTTTAGATATAATGTGAGTAATACTTTTTCTTTTATATAGGCACTTGTATCGTTGTTTCTTAGAGAAAAATATATAATGTAAATATGCATCAAGGATTCAGCACCTGTGACTCGAGGGTGGTGGTGGAAACATTAGGGACAAGGTCCTATAATTTGTCCCTCGGACCTACCTAGGAAGCATTCAATTTCTGATTATTGAAAGTCAATCAGAATCTGCTATCACAATGCATGTATGTGGTAAAAAGTATCAACTAGAACTTTTCTCCAGCATTCATCCAATTATGTCATGTGTCATAGAGAGCAAAACAATAAAAAAAATTGCCTTTATGTGCCAATCTCTTTGACAACAAAACCACTTTCTCTTTATTCACAAATGTACTCAACTTCTGAGTGTTGACCAATGTTGCAATCATATCACCACATTTGTATTAGACATGAAAGATTTATCCTAAGCAAGGACTTGTCCTTGATGAACCTCATCTTCAAACAAAGCTTCAATCTCCTCCAAGCTCTTGCCTTTGGTCTCTGGTAAAAAGTAATAAAAGAAAACTGTGCCAACTACCATTACCCCAGAAAGCACAAAGAACACAACCCCAAACGTTATTGCCTCTGAGACACTAAGGAATGTCATGGACACTAATCCACTCACCAAACGATTCACAGAAATGGCCAAGCTGGAACCTTGGGCCCTTAACCTCATAGGGAAAATCTCTGATGAGTATACCCATGTTATGGGCCCAAGCCCAATAGAGAAGAAGGAAACTGTAGCACACACAGCAACCACACATAAAGCAATGGTCCATCCGGGCTTGTCATCAGAGAATTGAAGCAAGGTGCAGCCCAAGCCCAGCATAAACAATGAGACTACCATGCCACATGAACCAAACAACAACATGGGCCTCCTCCCAAATCGGTCCAAGAACAAAGCTGAAATGAAAACAAAGCTAGTCTTGGCTATTCCCATGATGATTGTAACACCTACAAGCAGCTTCTCACTCTGAATCCCAGCTTGCCTAAACACTTGTGGGCTATAAATTACCACAGCATCATTCCCAGAAGCTTGCATGAAGAAGTTGACACCAATGGCAGCTACAAGAATCCTTAAGACAGGGCGAGAGGGTGTTAAAAGCAACTCCTTCCAAACCCCTTGTCCATGGTTTCTTATGGAAGCAGCTTCTGATATTTCTGCAAGCCTCAGTTCAGCTTCTTCTTTGTTATCTGATGTTCTAATCAAAACCTGCTTTGCTTCCTGAAACCTACCCTTCACTACAAGCCATCTAGGTGACTCTGGCATTGCTAGCACACCTAGTGCCACTACAATTGCTGGCACAGCTGCAACACCAAGCATTAGTCTCCAGTTTATGTTATTTGGAAGTCCTGATAGAGCATAGTTTGAAATGTAACCAAGTAAAATGCCAACATTGATGAAGACTTCAGGGAGTGATGTGAGGAAGCCTCTTGTAAGAGTAGGAGAAAGCTCAGCTACATAAACTGGGGCAATCATAAGAGAGTAACCAACACCAATGCCAGCAACTACACGACCAGCCATGAGGAATGAGAATGAAGGTGCTAGCCCCATCAACACAGCACCTATTAAGAATGTTGCTGCAGCAAGAATTATGGTGTACCTTCTTCCTATCCAATCAGAAGTCTTGCCTGAGGCAAGAGATCCAATCAATGAACATACATTCAAGCACCCAACAAGGACTTCTACTTGGACTAGTGTGAGGTTGAGATCTTCCCTTATAAAAAGCACAGCACCACTCATGACCCCAATATCTGCACACACACAAATTTTCCTAGTAAAAATACTGCTATGAATTACATCATAACTTGTTAAGTTCTTTCACAATTTTACATGGATTTTGGGGTGCATAGGATATTGCCATTGTGGGGGAGCATTTGATTTGGGAACTTGTGGTTTAATACATGCAAATCTATTAGGCTTTAAATTTTGAACAAGTTTTAGTAAAACTTACCATAACCCAATAGAATAGAGTTTGTGGAAGCCAAAATAGCACCAGCAAGTGCATATTTGTTGAGATGACCCTTGTTTTGGTATGAAACAGAATCCTCTGATATGTTATGTTTGTGAGAGGCATCCTGTGCTGAAGTTCCTTCTTTTTCCTCATTATTAAGATCAGATTTTGCAGCAGAAGAATCTGACCCTGGAAGTGGATAATAATAATGGTGATTTATTTGATCAAGAGCAGAATTGTCTTGCATCTCTGAAAGAAGAAATGCAGAACAGCTAGAAAGCCTTTAGAAAATTGTACGAGACACGACAACACCACAAATGAAAGATCTAATATAAGTATCTACAAATATAACGATGATTCCAGCTAACATTATCCTAAATATACTTGTCAGAAGATTAAAAAAAAATACTTAAAATAATATAACATTTAATATATTAAAAACACCACGTGAGCTAACTATTTTCGTATGGTACTTGCACAGCTTTCTGCACCCAGTCCCATGGTGTAAAACTCGTAAATGCCTCAACTTCCACCCACCCCAACCCAGCTTTCTTAATTCCCTCCAACCCTTTTAAATTATTACAAATCAACATATTTAACAGATTTTTACTATATTAATTATCATCAATTCACAGGATTGTTTAATAAATTGTGTGCATATGTTTTTTAAATTATTAAAATAAATATAAATATGAAATAGGTTATTCTTACACCAGTGTTATACTAAATCTTAATTATTGATTTTCTTGTATCTAACGACTCAGACATTTATTAAATCAAAACCGTTAGATATAAATAAAATCAACGGTCAAGATTGAAAATGTAACTTATATCGGTGTAAAATAATTATGACATTATAAATATATTTTGATATAAAATTTTAACTTACAGCGACATAAATATATATGAGAAAAACGTTTATCATTTTAAAGGATATAATTTTATGTTATTTTAGATCCTAATCATTGATTTTCGTAAGGGTTCGCTTTTTCTGCAGTTACTTACTGCAGATAAGTTATCTGCAGTAAGCTAATACGACGTCGTTTTGGACGGAAATCATAGTATTTTTGTAATTTTAATTTTTTTCAGGGTTATAATAGTCTTTATATTTATAATTTTTTAAGATTTTAATACAAAAACGACGTCGTTTTGGGAATAAATGCAGATAATCTATTTGCATTAACTGCAGAAACATTTTTCCCTTTTCGTAAATTATAATAGCCCTAACCTAATTAATTAGTAAATTACATGTAATTAAATAATTAAGCATGTATTAGTGAGTAAAATTAAGTATAGGACCTAATTAAGTGAATTGGGGTCACTTTCGAGGTAAAAAATGTACTCAGTAAAAATTAAGGGGTATAAATGGGTGTAGGCAAAAGCACCCAAAATATAAAAATGAAAGTGGAAATATTCCTAGAAAAATATTCCAGACTTTTGAGTAAAGTTTGATAGTGAATGGAGTTAAATAGATAGATGAGCTAATATCCGCTCAAAACAACTTAACTAATGTTAAGTGACTTAAAAGTGAGAAAACATATTTCCCCTCCCCAAAACCGTCGAACAAGGAAAGAAAGAAGAAGAAGAAGAGAGGGAGAAGAGAGAAAGGAGAGGGAAACCCTAGATCATCCAATCCTTAACCGTTTTTGTTGATTCAAAAGCCTAAACCACTCCAAATCCTTCTCTCTTCTTGAATCCAAGCTAGGTTTGTTGTGGGGAGCTTTGTGTTGTGAGATTTTCTCTCTAAAAAATCCTCCCCTTTGAAGGTTGAAGGAGTTTAGGGAGCATTTGGCTCCTTGGAAGCTTGAAGAACCATCACTCCTTCATTGTGCAACTATTGGTGGTAAGATTCTACTCCTTGAACCTTATTTTCATGGAGATTGCATGATTGAGGAAGATGATGAATAGTGTTTAGGGTTTTATGAAAATGTGAGTAGATTGGCTATGTTCTAGGAGGATTAAGACTTAGTGGATGTTATGAAAAATGCTAGAAATGACATTTAATCGGTGAAAATGAGCTTAGTTAGTCATTGGCGTATACTTTGAAAATTGCAAGATTGAATACTTGATGTTGGACTTCCTTGCAGTTGTGATCAATGGTTGGGTTTGGTAGGATATTGATTGTGTCCTTGTGTTGTCTAGGATTGAGGCAATTGGACTAACATTGAGAGACCAACCGTTGGAGCAAGCTATGGAGCTTGATTAGCTCTTTGGAATAGGTAAGCTCATGCTAATTTATAATGTAGTGTTGTTGTGGTATTGATGGATATATAGATATTCATTGGAATGTATGATTGATGTTGTGACGCCTTGTTGTAGGGGTGTACTTTGCAAGTTATAGTTGAAATCAAAGTTGACTGGTTGTAGAACATGTTGGTGGTGAACAAAAGGTTGAACTGAAGTTTTGAGGTAAGCCTTCGGACCTTGGGTGTAATTCCCTTGATTGTTCCACCAAGTCCTGAATGGGTAGTGGTTGTGATAGTGTATATAAATGCAATGAAATAGTTTAATGCTTTGTTATACGTATGTGTATGCATTTGGTGTGGCATAGGATGGTGTTTCCCTATGTTGGTATGTTGCATGACGATGCGTAAATCATACTTGGTAGTTTAGCTGGCCAGTAGGACTATTTGCATCTGAGTATCTTTAGGACAGCTTGAGAGCTCGAGGGATTTCTCCTGGAGATGTTTGTTTACACACTGCATGGATATGTATTTATTGCATTATTATTGTTATTGCTATTACACTATTTTTGGAACTATGGGGTGGAGAGATGCTCCAAGGACCCCTGGTTTACTGGATATATTCGTATATCTCACCCCGTGTTGTGGGGACCCCCTTTCAGGTAAAGATGCTGCAGGAGCCTCTGGTGGCAAGTGGCCATATTTGGATTAGTAGATGCATAAAGAAGTTGCATTCTTTTAGATTATACATGACATGTAGTAATACTATGTATAGGATTTACACTTGAAAGCTAATTGTTGTATGTATGTCATGTTTTATTTGGGTGGACTTAGCTTATCTCATCTCCTTTAGTATCTCTTTTGTTGATGGGAGCCAAGGAGTTGATCATAATGTTTTGTAGCTAAGTCCCATGAATTGTAATTAAGACGTATTGTAATGTTGTAATTAATGGAGATATATGTATGAGGAAATGTTATGCATACTTCTCTTAGGGTATGAGTACTTTGAAAGACTAGAATTCATGTATTGAAAGAATTATATGATTGTCAACTATGTAGCACCAACTCGACACGCGACACGTGACACGACACGACACGACACTCCGACACGTCAATCTTAAAAAAATATGAATTCCGACACGTTCCGACACGTTTTAATATTAAATAATATTTTTAATTTATATAGTGTATATTTCACTTAATATTCAATAATTTAACAAAAAAATAAAACTAAACTAATAATATCCATCAATTTAACCCAAAAAAAAAATCATTTCCATAATACCGTTATATTGATCTAAAGCAAATATAATAGCATATCCATAGAAAAACATAAAACATGGAGATTATAGATTATCTTCATGGAACATTTTCATCTAGAATAACATTTGACTCCATCTCTGGCTCATCAAGTGAAAGAGTAGCAACTTCAAGAATTCCAACATCTTCAAATGTATCAAATGTATCTCCAGCAATGTCCCACATTCTATTATTCCCTTGTGTATATTGTGAAGTCTTTCTTGATAAGAGCCTAAGGTTGCTATGTATATAAACCAAGTCTTCAGCACGTTTTGGAGTCATCTTATTCCTTCTTACAGAATGTACAAAAGAATAAGTACTCCAATTACGTTCAGCACAGGATGAAGAAGAAGGTTGTGCAACAAGTCGCAATGCTATCTTTTGAAGCATAGGTGAACAAGCACCATGAAGCACCCACCAAGCTTTGGGCTCCATAGAATATCGATTTTGCATGGCATCATAATCTCTAAAACCTCCACTCATACTAGCAAAATCCACATACTCCAAATTTATTTTATTTCGGTCCTCCAAGTTAGGAAAGTATCTCTTTAAGCATTTTTGTCTTTCTTGATTAATCTCTAAATCCTGGTGTGGAGGAACTCGACTAGTATCTTCATTAAGCCATTGTTCACTATAGTATCTGAAAGAAAAAAAAAGAAAAACAATTAAACAAATTATATCAAATAAGAGAAGTATTCAATTTATTCATAATTAAAAGCTTACTTGGGATTCAAAGCATGTGCCAAAGAATGAAGTGGAGTTGAATGTTTGGTCCAACGATCCACAAGAATGCCATGCACCACCTCATAAAAAGTTGAGGTCTCATCCATCCTCTTCAATTCATGAAAGTATATAGCTTTCTTCACTTTTACAATCATGTCATCCCACATATCATAAATCAAATGAGGACAAGGTTTATCAGTGTCACAAATCCTGATCATATTATAAATAGGAGCAGTGAAAGCAAGTATATAATCAATTGAATCCCACCAAAGATCATCCAGAATCTTATCTTTAACCATTCTTGCCCGTCCTAGATTATCATCTTTATACAAACTCCATTTTTCACTGATTACCATATTTTGGAGACCACATTTTATCAATTTGAACCTCTTTAGCATCACAATCATGGAAGCAAAGCGGGTTTCAGCTATAGAAAGCAACTTCAATCCCACAAACTCATTAAACATTGACAGTCTCATAGAATGATTCATTATGAAGTGCTTTATTGCAGAAACATCTCCAACAATATCAGAAATCCAACTACATTCCTCATATGCTATTTGATTATTCTCCACATTTTTTGCAGCACAAATATTTTTCACAGCTAAATTCAGTGTGTGAACAACACATGGTGTCCAAGTAATAGATGGAAATTCTTGCTCAATAAGATGCCCTGCTCCCTTACAATTTGCAGCATTATCCGTGATTACTTGAACCACTTTTTCATTCCCAACTTCTTGAATTACTTCTTTTAACAACATCCTAATAAAATGCCTATCCTTAGTCTCTCCTGAACAATCAACTGATTTCAAAAACATAGCTTCACCATCAGATACTGCCATGAAATTAATAAGTGGCCTCCTTTGTGAATCACTCCATCCATCACTCACAATACTAACACCCTTGTCTTTCCACCCAGCTCGAATAGGTGCACACAACCTATCAATATTTTCCTTCTCTTTCTGCAAAAGAGTGGTACGAAAGGAGTTATATCCTGGTGGCAAATAACCTCTGATATTATTATCCGCAGCAAAAGTGAAGGCTGCTTGAAAGTATGGGTTCTTTGCTAAAGTGAATGGCAATCCTGCTGAATAAAACATCCTAGCAATCAAGTGGTTCAATTCTTCTCGCGCACCAACATTGAATGCCCTCTCAATAGGATTTCTAGATGAACTTCCACCCTCACTTCCACTTCTTCTTTTTTTCGAGTTTGATTCTACGGAAAAACTAGAAGGGGGTAAAGGCACATTTTTGGGTGCATTACTCTTCAATCTCTCACTAGTTTCTTATTCTAATTTCTCCATCTCTAGCAAGTCTTTTGTCTCCACATTTAAACATTTTGCAATTCCTTTGCCTGCTATTTTAAGCAAATGAGCCCTTATTCTAGTATACGAACTTTTAAAATCCTTTTCACAAAAATTGCATTTCCAAGATAAATTCCCTCCTGCTTCCGTTGTGGTGCCTACTTTGGTAACATATTTCCATAATGGCTTCCTTAGAAATTCATCATCTCCACTACTTGCAATACTTGAATCCATTCTAAAAAAAATAAAATTAAACACTATGAACAAAATAATTATATAAAAACAAATTCCACCAGTTCAAAAGCATGTAGTATTAATAAATCTCAATTTCAAGGCTGAACAAAAATAAGGCCTGCTCGTGGAGTAAACCACACAGAGCCTCAGTGTCAAACAAGTAAATTAGAGCATATAACAAGCAAATTCATAGTGCTGTTTTAGTTCATAGCTCTTACAATTCCTAATTGGCTTGAAAAGTGGAGGACATATTCAGTAGAAAATATATGCAGTTTATCATGCAATCTGGTTAACAATTTACCTCAATAGAAAAAAGAGTAATTATTGAAAGTTGTTTATCATGCAATCTGGTTATCATGCAATCTGGTTAACAATTTACCTCAATAGAAAATATATGCAGTTTACCTCAATCTGGTTATCATGCAATCTGGTTAACAGTTTATCATTCAGTAGAAAATACAATTACCTTATAATTATTCAACTTGGTTAACAATTTATCATGCAATCTGGTAACACTTAGTATAATTGAACGAAAGAAAAAAGAGTGGTTGCCAATTAAGGGAGTAAAATAACATCTCAATATAATTGGTAACACTCAGTATAAAAAACATTCTGCCCGTGGAACTCATGCTTGCCAAACCACAAGAGCCTATTATTGAAAGTTGTAAAACAAGTGTTTTACAATAAACCTGCTTCCATTTAATGAAGTAAATAGCTTCTTCAAGTGTTGAGATTAAGGTGATTTGCATAAATATAGAAAAACACAAGTAACCAGTGTCCACAACATGATCTTCAAATTCAAATTCTTAAGCGCAAGTTCAAGGACAGCCTCAACCATTTTTTAATTATTTCAATATAGAAAATAGTACAAGTTTCCAGCTATTTCAATATGCATAATCATTCTGCCACATAGCTTGAAATCACCATGGCTCATTTTCGATTTCTTGTACTTGAGACTAGCATATAAAATATACCCTGGGCAGTTGAGAGGTCTTGTGTTTGCTAATATAATGAATTAGATATTCAAGTCAATCAATTTATGCAAGTTAATTAAATCTGAATTAGAAACTAGCATTTCTTTTATCTCTGTTACGACCAGGAAAGTTCAACCAAAAAGACTAGCCTACTCAACAAGTCGTATTAATCTCTAAGCTCAATAATGCTTATCATTTATTGGCGATATGAAGTGACAGTATCAAGCAAAGTAGATCGAGAATAAAAGGAAGAGCAATACGATAATAAAAAGAAAAAGGTAAAAAAAAAATACCAAAAAAGAAAGAAACAAGAAAGAGTAAAGCAAAGAAGATTGACCACCACAGCTATTTTAAGTAATAGTAGATCGAAGAAATTTATTAGGTTTAGAGTTCAGACTTCACACTCACAGTGAGAGAAAAGGATGAATGAGAGCACTCAGCAACTCAGCAACAGAGACACGACGGACGGCAGGGAGAGATGGAGACGCGGCGACACAGAGAGAGATCAGAGAAAGATATAATGTTATTAGGTTTACGTTTTTTACTTTCCCAGGTTAGTGTACGCTTTTTTAATAATATTTAATTTTATAAATATATTTAATTTTTCTAAAAAATATTTTTTTTTTTAAAATATCATGTTTTTTACGAAAATGCCATTGGACCGTGTCGGACACGGTCAAATTCGCGTGTCGGAATAGTCAACGTGTCGGAAAAAAAGTCAACGTGTCTGACACCGTGTCGGAGCGTGTCGGAGCGTGTCGCCGTGTCGGATCGTGTCGGACCCGACTCTTCCTGTTTTTCAAGGTGTCGGTGCTTCCTTGATTGTCAATTAGGTGAAAGAAGACCTTTAGATTGAAAATCCAAGTAAAAGTAAAGATATCCTGTCTTGTTGTCCAATTTTCGTATCCTATATGATAGATTTGGACCCTTGAGTCTTAATGGAAGTGGTAGATCTTTTTCTTAGCTTTCCATTGAGACCAAGATTGTGTAATTTGGATGTGTACAACTCTAGTTAGGGTTAAAACACTCAAGCTTGGTGTTGTCCCCAGAAATCTGGCGCTACTAGCGTCGTGTTGGCGCTAGCCGCGCCAAGGGACAGAGAGGGAACGTATTCCCGGCGCTAACCGCGCCAAATACAGTGAAACACTCTGTTGTTTCACGCTAATCGCGCCGGAAACAGTGGGTTCAGCACTCGTTACGTAGAAAGTTCATAACTTGGGCTACGGTGCTCCGAATTGAGTGTGGTTTGAACCTACGCGTTGATAACGAAGAGATATATAACATATTGGAAGATGAGAACTATAAAGTAAGTATAGAAATTCCAATTTAATAAAAAGGGTAGAGAGTCTAGTATTGAACTCGAACAAAATAATGATATGATGTTAAGTTTAGTTTTGATTATTCCGCAAAGTATAAGGTTATGGTTACGCAATTGGTTATTTCAAACTCGGCATTGTTAAAAAGGAAAGACAAGTAAGTTTTAAAAAAGAAAACGAAAAATTTATCCAGGTTTTTAATTGAACCAATGTGATTGTAACTGCGCTTAATATCATAAAGCAATGTTAACAAACCGGTTCTAGAACGGGGTGTTACATAAATCAATGATCTGAATTTATTGATTCAAACTTATTAATTAATTAATAATTTACAATATATATATATATATATATATATCTATCTATCTATCGAGAGAGAAGGGGGGAGTATTTTAACTCCAAAGTAAGACTTACTGTTATAATTTAGAAAAGTATCTTAATTAATTAATTATTAATTTCACTAAAAATTATAAGCATTAATTTCTGTCTATTAATAACTAAGATGGGAAATAAGATTTTTACATCTTAATCTAGAGCCAAAAAAAACCCTCTTTTTATTTATATATATGTGTAGAAGCATGATCTGTTAACAGTAATTTCATATTATGGGGAATAGATTTATTATGTCAGAGCTCTAAATGTTTTTCTTGCACTAACAGAAAAGCATGGCAGCGATGGTTTTTGTGTATGTGCTGGAAGGGATTTGTCCTATAAGAGGACCAATTCAATCCCCTTTCATTATATACTAAATAAATCATTCGATAACAACCTGTCTTAATAGACACCATTTGACAATATGGCTATTCTCCTCCTTGTTTATTTCCGGTCTTAGACATGTTTTGTCTTACACACGTGAATTCGGACCCGCAACTTCATTATTGATAACGCAACAATTAGCACCCAGTTTGATACGTATAAAAACAAACACTATTTTTTTTTGGTTGCTAAGAGTATGTTTGGTGTATAGTATAAGATAAGGCCTAATAGTATAAGACCTGATAGTATAAGGTCTGATTGTATAAGACCTGATTGAATTTTAATACTATCCAGCATTTGTCACGGTATTGTATAAAATAATATATTGTATAAGATAATATCATCTAGTATTTGATAATGCACTATATAATACTATATAGGATAAAAATAAATATCTTTTAATAAAGAATTTATATAATTCTTCAAAAAATGTCATATGATATTAAATTTTATAAAAATTTATTGATCAGTGTGTCCAAAACATAAATTAATTTTTGTAAAAATAATAATATTCAATATTTTAAAAATTAATATATTGAAAAATTAATTTTTATTTTACTATATTAACATTAAAATAATATATTAATTTTTGAGAATTACACTGGTCACTGGTCAACGATGTTAATACACCAACTTTTTATCAGGCTTTATCCCTCTTCCTTAGGCCGGATTAAGTTATACATCGTTTTGATGTATTAAGGGATCCTGCTGTATAAGCTTATACTATACGATGGTCACACCAAACAACTAAAAATATCATAACGTATAGTATAAGCTTATACTATCAGGCCTTATACGTCACACCAAACAGGCCCTTAATACATTAACGTTTTAATGTATAACTTAATCTGGCCTAAGGGTGAGGGATAAGGTTTGATAAGAGATTGATGTATTAACATCGTTAACCAATGTAATTCTCAAAAATTAATTTTTCAATTCTTTTATTTTATAAAATATTGAATATTTTTATTTTTATAAAAATTAATTTATATTTTGGACACACTGATCAATAAATTTTTATAAAAATTAATATCATACGACATTTTTTGAATAATTATATAAATTATTTATTAAAGGATATTTTTATTAAAAATATTTAGTTTTGTCATATATAGTATTATACAGTGCACCCAATGGGTGCAGCTCAGTTGGTAACTTGGCGCTGAGTTAGTGGGGTTGGATATGTGTTCGATTCCCGCTGAATGCATTCTTGGGGAGGGGGCTGAACCTTTAGCCATCACTGTTCCCCCGCACTCCGAATTAGTCCCATAGCCGGCTCAAAGAGTCGAAGCTCGTGGGGATACCGGAGGGAGCCAACTCGTCTCAAAGAGATAATTAGGGTTGGGTAACTCCAAAAAAAAAAAAAAGTATTATACAGTGCATTACCAAATACTAGATGATATTATCTTATACAATATATTATTTTATACAATACCGTGTCAAACGCTGGATAGTATTAAAATTCAATCAGGTCTTATACAATCAGGTCTTATACAATCAGTCCTTATACTATCAGGTCTTATACTATCATGTCTTATCATATACTATGCACCAAACATGCCCTAAGAGATATGGTTCTTCGAGTGCCTCTACTTGAAATTATTTTATTTTATTTTATTTTTATAAATTATATATATCATTCACCGAAGGCAATTCTATTCGAGTTGAAAACATTCTGCTCATGACGAAGTTAACTCTTCCAAAAATTTTTTTTTACATTTTCAAGGACTTAAAACCAAGATCTTGTTTAAGTAAAATTAAGCATGTACTATTTAAATCAACCCCTTTTATATGCTTGAAATTATTTTGTTTATGGTAATTGTTAGCTTTTAGTTTTGGCTGATTTGGATGCTGATTGAATCTTCATTTATTTTATTTTATTTTTTAAATGATAGATAGAATATTTATTTTAAAAAGACTTAAAAATGCTATAAAATAAAGGGATTAATATTTTTTATGTTGTACGAGATAATTTTATTTTCTATACACATATAAAAGTATGTGGGTTTTATTTACCAAAAAAAAATATGTGGGTTCTATATTTTCTTTCTGTCTCTCTCTTCTTTTCACATGGACCCTTAGCCCACACACTTTTATGTATGTATAGGAGATAAAATTATTTACATAAGAAGCACTAATACCATAAATAAATTTATATGAAGGTTTTTCGTCATTTTCATGTTATCAATTTGCATGATTAAGCAGCAAAAAATAAGCCCATTTAATATTATCTTGATGGAAAGTTTTCTATGTATTGGCTGATCTCCTGTTAAGTTGCTCCAGTCATAGCCATATGTATATATGTTTTTACTTAAATTAACTTCGATGTTCTACTACTATATTTATTCATGTACGCACCTCCATAATCCACTACCATAGTCCATAAGATTAAGGAGCAGGATAAATAAATATTGTGAGGGATATAGTAATTAGGGGTGGAATGAATGAATGAATGAATAAAAGTTTTCTATGCATTGGCCACTGGGCATGGCAAGGATTTATAGCTGAGAAAGACTAAATCAAAAACAAACTAGATATAGATAGCGTAGCCTGCAAAGCACGTTAGAGCATTAATGGAAAATGGTCACGCATCTCCACAGTTTGGAGGATGATATTATCTTGGAAAATTAGGAAGATGATATTAATTAGTCTACAGTTTATACTCGTGAAGAATTCTTGCGGGTACGATTGATTACACACATGGCTGTCTATGCCTCCTTTCTCCCCCCAAATTTATATTCATCAAGAGATTTAAGCATTTGCTGATAATAACTATGTGATTTTGAGACATTCAATTTCGCTAAAATACACTTAATCAGGGGTTCAATCCTTAATCAATTTTAATGTGTCTACGTTTTGTCTACCCTCCATCTGCACTTATAAAGTATTTATATGGATCTCATCTTGTGTGTGTGATTACATTTAATTGTTTTAAGCAAATTTCGGTCGATACAAAAAAATCTATACATCCTAGTCCTAAATCTTTGAGTATTACTTTTTCTTTTAGGGGATAGGTTATTTTACCTACCATTTTTTTTGCCTACCTAACGGTGTTGTAGGATAATAGACAAAGGTAGGCAGAAAAAATAATAGGTAGAATAACTTATCCCTTCTTTTCTTTTTTTGGAGTTACCCAACCCTAATTATATCTTTGAGACGAGTTGGCTCCCTTCGGTAACCTAACCCTTCTTTTAGATGAGTAGTTATATTCTTCTTTCTCATAAAAGTATAAATTTCTCTTTAACTAGAGTCTCCTATAATGGGTGCTCAAATCGCCAATCAGATTATTTTGATAACCAATATCAAGGAATATATCCAAAAAGAATTTCGTACAATTGTAGGAGCAGTTGTATCTGCGGAAGCGTATGAGACCATTGTGATTTGGATGTATAAGGATCATCATGGTTTTATTATTTACCTCTTGGATGGCGCAGATGTGAGATGATGTTGTTCCTCACGCTTGAGTCTTTTGCGTCACAGCACGAACTCACGAACTGTTGTGGTAAACCTTCCAAGCTATCTCTCAAGTAGGAAGGGGAAGTGTGTGGGCACAAATCAGATTTGAGCTTGCCTCTTTTCTCTCTAAAAAATCCCCTAGAGACTGATGACTTAAGTGATACTATTTATATGGATTCCAAGAAATCCTAGCTCATTGAGCTCTAGGTTTCTTGGACTCTTCTCATACTAATAGCCCATTTGGGCTTTAGTAAAAGAGCAAACCCAACAGTGGTACATGATAATTGTTTTAGGTGACCATGCAAGCTCAATATACTGCGTAAGTCATCCAAAGATGCAAATTGATCAGCATCCCATAGATGAACACATGACTCTCATAGTAGGGAATTTCCTTCTTTTATGCATAGCTCACCATCCTACGCCCATTATGGTGAAACAACATCTCATTGCGAAGTTGAGGTATTAATTAATGATTTTGGCTTAGTCAAAATCTTTTATTATTAAGGAATATTCTCCCACCTATATAAATTTCCCATCTCGAACAGAGGATGCACACTTTATCTTGCATTCTTATGAGTTGTTAATAAGCTGGATTTTAAAGTCACAATTGTCCTACACACATCCTCTCTCGCAGCCTCCTTCTGCAATTGCCCTTACGGTGACTCTGTTTGAGTTTTGGTCTATATTATTATCTTCTTGAGCATCACATATTGAGATACTATACCCCTTAAAAAATACATACCTAGCTCCCAATCCGCAATAGTTCAATAATATTTTCAAAAAAATAAGTTTTCTTTATTTTCAATCTATGAAACAAAAATGGTTTAAAACGATATTTGATAAAATCAATTTGTTTTTTAATTTTAGATAATGAACCTATTACCCAGATATAAAAAATTAAAAAAAAAATTCTTTATTTGAAGTACACGAATAAAAAAATATTTTTCTAAATAATTATCCTCCACATTATATTTATATTTGGCAACCGGAGGGTGTTGATGGAGCGATTACTTGTTAACAGGTCGAAGAGGTTGGCAAGTGGGTTGTGGCTCAGAGATTCTATCGAAAATAATTTTTCCCTTAAGCTTACATGTTGGTATGACTCATATTTCGCATGCTGATGAAGGCCCTTGTTATTAGGATTAGTAAAAAGGAAAATGGGGTCCCACTCCCAGGTGAGCGGGCGAGGGTCCGAGAAAGTCGTTCCGGCGGGATCCGCTGCCCCCAGGCTCGTCGAGGCTAAGTACTGTTGTGGGCTTCTGAATTATTATAATTTTTTTCTTTTTCTTATTAGTTTGGACTTGGGCCCATGAATAACTACTTTTAAGATTTTCTAATTCTATTTATATTCTCCTAGTAAATCGAGTGACTTATAATGAGTGGTGGTGAGATGAATATAGTACAAACAAGTAGGACGTAGCCTATATTGAGTGACCCAAGATAAATCATCGTGTCAAAATTCTCTCTTCTTTTTCTCTTTTATTTTTCAATTTGAGTGTGATTGTCGATTTTCAATATTACCAAAGAACCATTCAATGGTTTTATCGAATAAATCTTTAGTGCATCAAATGTATTGAAGATTCAGTATATCTGTTCAATTATTTTGTGACATGCGGATAAAAAATATCACATCATCAACTTTTTTTTAGATGATATTATATTTTTTCGTATACATATCACAAAATACATGTCATGTACTAAAACTTTATTGCTCATTACCATGATGACTTTTTATCTCTCACTCTGAAGTGACTTAACACTAACATTATTAATATTAGGGTCACAAAATGCATTTGCTTTTATGGATACACACTCGCACAGAAAAAAAATAAAAAAATCATGTACTTAAATAGATACATTATCGATTGAAATTGGGAAGCTCTCAATTCCAAGCAAATTTTCCTGTGGACACCAACATGATCAGGGGCAACAGGACATGTAAAATTTTGTACTAGTCTATAATCTATCCAATGCATGTGGAATAATGTATCAACCCCTGTAACCTTTTTTTCTAACATTCATCCAATTACATGCCTGCAAAACAATAATTTAAACCAAAAAAAAAAAAAAAATTGCACTTATGTGCCAATCTCTTATAAAACAGCACCATTTTATCTTTGTTCCTATATTCACAAATATACCAATGTTGTAATCAGATTACCATACTTGTATAAAACAGGTAGGATTTGTCCTAAGCAAGGACATGTCATTGAGCTTACTATTAGACTCAATGTGCATCATCTTCAAACAAAGCTTCAATCTCCTCTAAGCTCTTGCCTTTGGTCTCTGGTAGAAAGTAATAAAAGAAAAATGTGCCAACCACCATTACCCCAGAGAGTACAAAGAACACACCCCCAAATGTTATTGCCTCTGAAATACTAAGGAATGTCATGGACAATATCCCACTCACCAAACGGTTCACAGAAATGGCCAAGCTGGAACCTTGGGCCCTTAACCTCATAGGGAAAATCTCTGATGAGTAGACCCATGTTATGGGCCCAAGCCCAATAGAGAAGAAGGAAACTGTAGCACACACAGAAACCACACATAAAGCAATGGCCCATCCGGGCTTATTATCAGACAACTGAAGCAAGGTGCAGCCCAAGCCCAGTATAAACAATGACACTGCCATGCCAGATGAGCCCAACAACAACATGGGCCTCCTCCCAAAACGGTCCAAGAACAAAGCTGAAATGAAAACAAAGCAAGTCTTGGTTATTCCCATGATAATTGTAACACCAAAAAGCTGCTTTTCACCCTGAATCCCAGCTTCCTTAAACACTTCTGGGCTGTAATAAACAACAGCATCATTCCCAGAAGCTTGCATGAAGAAGTTAACACCAATGGCAGCAACAAGAATCCTTAAGACAGGGCGAGAGGGTGAGAAAAGCAACTCCTTCCAAACACCTTGACCATGTCCTGCATTGTCCTGGTTTGTGATTGAAGCAGCTTCTGATATTTCAGCAAGCCTAAGTTCAGCTTCTCCTTTGTTATCTGATGTTCTAATCAAAACCTGTTTTGCTTCCTGAAACCTACCTTTCACTACAAGCCATCTAGGTGACTCTGGCATTGCTAGCACACCCATTGCCACAAAAAGTGCTGGTAATGCTGCAAGACCAAGCATTAGTCTCCAATTTATATCTTTTGGGAGGCCTGAAAGAGCATAGTTTGAAATGTAACCAATTAGAATGCCAACATTGATGAAGACTTCAGGGAGTGATGTGAGGAAGCCTCTTGTAAGAGTAGGTGAAAGTTCAGCTACATAAACTGGGGCAATCGTAAGAGAGTAACCAACACCAATGCCAGCAACTACACGACCAGCCATTAGGAATGGGAATGAAGGTGCTAGCCCCATCAACACAGCACCTATTAAGAATGTTGCTGCAGCAAGAATTATTGTGTACCTTCTTCCAATCCAATCAGAAGTCTTGCCTGAAGCTAGAGATCCAATCAATGAACACACATTTAAGCACCCCACAAGTATTTCTACTTGGACTGATGTGATATTAAGATCTTCCCTTATAAAAAGCACAGCACCACTCATGACCCCAATATCTGCACACACAAACACACAACAATTTCCCTAATAAAAAGTACTGCTTTAAAACTTTGCATAAGCAATCATATAACTTGTAAAATTCTTCAATTTTGTTTTTCCTTTCTTTCTTTTTTCACATTGTTGGGGGGGATTTGATCTGAGAACTTGTGGTAATAGATGCAAATCCATTAGGCATTAAATTTTGAACAGGTTTTAGTAAAACTCACCATAGCCCAAGAGAATAGAGTTTGTTGAAGCCAAAATAGCACCAGCAAGTGCATATTTGTTGAGATGAGACTTGCTTTGGTATGAAACAGAATCCTCAGATATGTTATGCTTGTGAGAGCTAGCTTCAGGAGCCTCATGTGCACAAGTTCCTTGTTTTTCCTCATTCCTCAGATCAGCTTTTGTGGAAGAAGAATCTGAATCAGGAAGTGGGTAGTAATAATGGGACTTCATCTGTTTTTCCTGTGCAGAATTGTCTTGCATCTCTGAAAGAAGAAATGCAGAACGGCAAGAATGGCCTTTAGAAAATTGCAAAACGTGCCCAACACAAGATATAAGATAACTATACGAATATAATAAATGCATTCAAATCAAAGAGTACCTTCTCAACTTACTTGTCTCCGGATAACTCGTCTAAATCTAAGGCTACGCTAATCATTTTAATATTAAATTTGGTTAATAATTATTTTATGGATTTAGATTTTTTTATACGGCAGGAGAAAATTTTGTTATGTTGTAGACGCATTTTATGTGGGGCCCATATCTATTAAAAAAAAAAAAGCAAAAAAAAAAATTGCACGAAAATCGAATGGTCACTAATAGAAGAAAATAACTCTTCTACGACATGAGAAAATATTTTTTCTTATTTTATACATGTGTAAATTATATTTCTAATCTTGACCGTTAATTTTATTCATATTTAATAGCTTTGATTTATTAAATATGTAAATCATTAAATACAAATAAATTAATAATCAAAATTTGGTATAAATTTTTTTATTTTTATACCGATATAAGAATAACACGTCTGTCAATTTTTTATATCTTTTTACCCTAAGAGAAAGATAACTTTGAAGGTTGAGAGAGTAAGACAACAAAAATTATTTAAAAAAACTAACCAAAGAAAAAATCTGTAATGCTTTTTTTTTTTTTTTGAAAATATTTCATCGGTTCATCAATTCGCGATTAATCCAATTCAGAACGGGTTCAGGATTAAGGCTTTAAACCCTCCCTGAAGAGAAAAATCTGTAATGCTGAATATTATTGTCGTTTATTTATAAATTAAAAGTGGCATTTCTCTTAAAGAAAAGGGCCCAGGCTTGCCCATTTGGTGATTGTTGTCTGTAGTTAAAATAAAAAATAGCCTCCTACTAAAAAAAAATGATAGCCGTAAGGGTTGCTAACAGCTTTCCATTACTTTCTGGACCTTGTCTTTTGGACCTATTTCTACAATATTAATATTATAATGAAGCATGACAATGCAGAAAATGCTCAGGATTCACGCGTTGCAATAGTAGTTGGCTGAGAAGTATAGTTATCCTATTGTCTTACACACTTTATAAGGACACATCAGAAAACCACTTGCAAATTTATGGCTTTCCTTGGTCTCTATATTGTTCATGTGGCTGTGTATTTACATGTAAGGAAACCATATCATAAAGGTGTGCATCCATCTGAACCTCAATCATTCAATTCAGTGGTATCAACTATCAAGTTAAAAATATCTTTCGGTTTTTTGTCCAAATTTGCAACTGGAACCTTAATCATACAATCCAACTCGTTACATTGTTCTGATACCAAATTTTAGAATTAAGCATCTAATCCAAAATTTATAATTATTTTTCATAGCACAACTTTATTTTTTTTTTATCTATTATTAGGGGTTAGTCCTATGAGGATACAGAAAAAATTACGAGGCTTTATAACCCCAACAATTATCTTTAATGAAGAGAGAGAACAAAAGACAAAGTAAATATAAGGGGTAAAAAACCAAAATGTAAGACAATTTTTCATAAATACTCAAAGTTTAATTGATAGCTCAAAAAAAAAAAAAAAATAGACTCAATGGTGGCTCAGTTGGTAGCATGGGGACTGAGTGGTGGGAGAGAATCTCGGTTCAAATTCCACCAACACTATCTGGGGAGGGGCATAAGTACTGTAATCCTTGGACTCGCACCCGAACTCTGGATTAGTCTCATGGGCGGTTCAAAGAGTCGAACCTGTGGAGATACCGAGGTTCTGATTCGCCTCAAAGAGATAAGTAGGCTCAGTTTAAAAAAAAAATAGTGCTATAAAGCTTCAATTCTATGTAGATAGTGTATGGTAGACGGTCTTGTGTATACAAGTAATCTCTAGATTATACGGCAACAACACCAACTATTAGGGATAAGATTTTTGTTTATAATTGTTGAAAGTTGGATATAATATATAAAATTTCAGAAAATAAAAAAAGAAGAAGTGGAAAGCAAAAAACGAATATTTGGTTCTGTAAGAGTAATATCCTTTCTGTTTCATATAGAGGACGAGGTGAAGACAAACTTTAATTTAATGTAAACACAGATCTATGAAGGGATATTCCTTTGGTTTTATATTACACACAATACTAATTCAACAAAAAGGAAGCCTGTCAACTATGTTACTTCTATTACCGCTTGTCCTATATAGAAGCAATGAGTGTTCTACAAATCCTTCTTACAAGTTTAAAATATCAAACGCCGTTGAAGCTTAAATAAAGCCTCAATCAATGTCATTCTCATTAGGATTTTCTAGAGATGTTAATTTGTACATTTTTTTTTAAATCTTAACGTGATTAACTTGAACACTAGGTCCTACATATGTATCAAAAAATAATAATAATAACCCTAGGTCCAACTTCTGACCAATATTTATGATTTTTTGAATACACGTCATATCGTATATCTCACACGCCCAACACATGCATGATTCCTTGAAAATAGAGGGACAAGGGTGTCCTACTCCGACCAGCTTTTTCCATCATATTCAATAATTCTCCATAGTTAATTATTTAACTGGCTTTATAAATACGACATGTATAATATATCTGACTACCACATGCATTCCAAGAAATATCCCTATACAAAATCATAGACTAGCCATTGAGGTATTCAAAGGAAGTTTAAATTTTCTCCTATTATGTTTTTTATATTTTGTTAACAAGGTCAAGAGGCAACTAGGATTATTCCTTTGAACGGGGACCAGTTAATTTCATAAGGACAAAAGCAGTTTCAGATATTTCTCAGAAAAATAAAAATATATAGATCCAAACGTGAATTTAGATATATAAAAATAAATAAAAATTACAGGCTGTTAGCCCAAGTAAATAGAGAAATTCAAGTTATTAATCACGTTGTCACTTGTAATAATACAAGAAGAAAAACTGAAAAGGGGCATGAGGCTGAGCCAAAAAAAAAAAAAAAAAAAAAATTATTTATGTTTTGTTTGTTACTGTTAAACATAATGACTAAAAGGAGTTCCTCTAGTACTAGCTGCCATAATTATCATTGTCACTCAACGCCAAGTACCCAACAACTAGTTTCACAAGTTCAAATCTTTTTCCAGGATTGTTATAATAGAATTTATAACATCAATCTACATATTCGATAAATGAATAAAGGGTACCTCGTATACAAAAAATAAATAAAATAGTAAAACGTACCTCTTTAAGATAGCCGTGAGTTGCTTAGGTCCATTATTGTCAGATCTATTAGCACACAAGTGTGAAAATCAAGGACCAAATCTTTGTTTTCAGAATTCTTTTGCCACTTAAAAAAAAAGGTTTTTAGCCTCATAACAGTTGATATGAGTGTGCCACTTAAGGAAAAAAAAAAAGGTTCATGTGAGTTTGATTAGAATCACGAAATTTATAAAATAAGAATGTATTTAATTTTGAAATCCATTTTAATGTAGTTGTATATATATATAAATTTGAATTGATTTGGATTATTTTAATTCTTTAAATTAACAATTTAATCGTTAATATATTAACTACTTTACCTATTTTAAGTAAAGATAATAAAGTAAATATATTTTCTAAAAAAAAAGTAAATCTATTAAAATAGAAAACATTTATTCAACTTTAATATTGCATTTCAAACCAGGAAATTGATTGTCGAAGTAACCTAGATTATTTTATAATGAGTTCCATCAGTGGCGGACCCATGATATTTTCTTTATGTCTGTACAAATTTTTTATTTTTTATTTTAAAGATCATGATCATGATTCAATTTTTGCTTCCACTACAAAAGTAAAGTTTTAGTAAATCAACCAAAGTTTTAAAGAAATAATAGATAATGATAATTAAAAAAAAAACACCACAAAAAGACATTTGTAAAATATAGTATAATTATAAGAGTTAATCGATCAAAAACTCACATTCGTCGATGTCTATTTGATCCAAAATTGGCCACTTTTGTTTCACACAAAAAACGTGAAAAATGACGTGAGATTCTCTGTCACTTGATGAAGATTGAATTTCATGAATGTTATGTTTATTAAGATTTGGAGCTAATAAGGTTTATATATAAAAAAAAAAAAAAAACCGAAGCAATGAGCTAGGGTTTAAGCTTTAAACTTTTAATTGTAGGGATTGGTTAGGTTGGACATATTTTTACTTTTTTTTCTTTAATCTTCTTATTTCTTTTTTTTTTTCTTTTTCTTTTTACTTGACTTGAAGTACCCATCTCATGTGACAAAAAAATATTCTCCAATTTTGTGTCTGCAAGTGCAGACACTAGCACTAACGTGCGTCCGCGGTTGGTTCCATGTATGAAATTGAAAAACAATAAAATACGTTTTAAATTAATTCAAATCAATTATTTCAATAATTCCAAACAAGGCGGATTGCCTAAGTTGGCAATTTGGCATGAATGACCAGGCTAGATCAACTTAGATACATACTAGACAGTAGACACTACAATGACCAATAATAATAATAAGAATAAGAATGATAATTTATACACATAGCTGTAAATTCGATGGCTGAGCGTTGAACATGAATCCTCAACATATCAGTGATAGTTGTTCAAACAAAAAAATTTATTATTAGGATATAGGTTGAAATGTCAAAAATAAAAATATCAAATAAAAAGGGAAAAAGTGTTTCTCTTGTAACAAGAAGAAAAATTATCTCCTATTATTTTACATCAATGTCGTTTTAGGATTTAAAACAAATATAAAATATTTTGAGAATTTTATTTCTTTCTTGTAACATGAATTTTTCTAAAAGTTTTTTTTTATTTTTTTTCTTCCAAATCCCAAAATGACATTATTTTATTCTTAACTTGTACTCTTAAAAAAAATGTTAGCAAAATTCTTAATTATGTTATATTTTATTATCATGTGCAAGTTAAGCATAAATATTTTTATTATCATATATATTTTATATTTATATATTATAAATAAAATGTTTATAAACATATGTACAAAAAATTATATATAATAATATATTTTCGTATATTCATATGACAACAGTTACTATTCCATATACTTTATTCTTAACTTCTGGATTTTCGATTTTCTAAATTGTTAGATGTTTTATCATTTCATGATCATAATTTTGTGCACATTTGTAATGTATTGAATTTTTCCTCATAGATGAATTTAATCACGTTAACATTTCTGTGTTTCTTTCCACGATTATATATATATATATATATATATATATATATATATATATATATATATATATAACTTTTAATTCGACCTCAGTTAAATCAAAGAAATCTTGAACCTCTTCCTTTACTAGTTTAAAGGCTGTCCTGGTTTTAAATTATAAAAAAAAAAACACTTGTCATAGTAACCAGCCAAAGGAAAATTTATGGCTTGTTCTTGGAACACCATATAAGATTGTAATTATATTTTGACATCTCAGCCTTTAAATTAGAAAGGTCGAATACGATTAATTCAATTATCATAGTGAATGATGGACTCATTGTTAGTTACTTAAGCTAGAATGTCAAAATGTGAACCGAATCAACATAGTGGACCACTCCAACATCATGCAATATAATTAGACAAGCTTGGTGTGGACCACTCCATTCTAGAGAGCATGGTGAATTACTACTCATAAGTCATAGCACTCACTCGGTACAATACAAAGCCTATAAAAAAGAATCAAGTTCACACTTCACACTTAATAGTTCACATTACTGTTCCAGCCTAACAGGGTAGCAAATCATGTGGTTCATATTTCATAGCACGATTTGCTTATGCTACATAACATGTGCTTTCTTAAGTATAAATTTGAAATTTTTATGGCAAGGAAACGTTAAATCGTTGCTATTATTCTACTCAATTTATATTGCAATCATATCTTCTTGTCTTACATAGTGGACCACTCCGACATCATGCACGTGACTTGTTACACGAGGATGGTACGAGTCACGTGCAATAGTCATTACTTAAATATGTAGCCAATGAAACAGATGTTTAGCGGCTAAAGTTCATTGAATAATGAATAACAGGTGGAATTTTATATTTGTTAATAAAGCTTTTCATATTTACACTGACACATGCAAGATTTCTTCATCCTACTTAGTAACTAGTATGAATTTTCTGAGTTCAATGATCACATCACCTGTGAATTATCAACATACTGAAGAAGTTCTGAGCCCACTTCAGAGACCCAATCCACTGCAGTGCCAAACAAGAGCTCCCAAAACCACAGATCCAATGCTAAGACTGATGAAAAGATGAGCAATGCCAGTGTCTGATAGCGGTTCAATGGCCAACCTGAGGCTCTTGCCATTGTTTTCAGAAATGGAAATGAACTAGTATTTAGGTCCCTTTTCCTTATGGACCAAGCTGTTATCCACTGCACACTTGATGGAACTAAATCAAACTCCTCCCTCAATCTTCTCCCAAGATCTGGCATGTGGCCACCCCCATAAAGTATTGCAATCCTATTGTATCCCTTCTCCATTACAGTTCTGAGTGTCTCTATGGCAACTCTATTTCTCTCACCAATTATAACAGATTCCTCTTCTACATCTGCTGTCAGCTGTGTGAACCTTTACAACAATATTTTATCATCAATACCCAAGTTGATAATAGTGACTCAACACAAGAAAATTAATATGGTTTATGTTAATGAAATCTCTACAAGTGCATGTCCTGTACTAAACTTTCAAATGACAAGGTAAAGAGTATGCTCATGACTCAAAAACCTACAGGAACATGAGTTTGTATAAATTTCTAGGGGACTAAAATGAAAAAGAAAGAGGGATGGATTAAAAGAAATAAATGACAGAAACTTACTCGGATGTTAATCTCTTTGCAAGGAAGACCTTCATTGCAGCACCCAAATCAAGCCTTGACAATGCCTCTATTTCAGGATAATCTGATGCTTGACTTCCCACATCTGCACAAACGCTTCCAATGATAAGAAGACCAACAAGTGGCATGGGAAGTACACGTGAAGCCCATAAAAGCTTGGATCTCCATGGGTCAAGATCTTCTGGAATAGTAGGCTCCAATATTGCCTTTGTAGATCTAAGAGTCATATCTCTGGCAAAAGAAAAGAGGCTTTCACCTTTTTCAAGCTGAAATAAATGAGGCAAAATAAAGTTAGATCGGAACAATTAAAATAATTAAAGTGCAAGCGCTCAAATTTCAGTGGAAGTCATTCATATATTTGATGGTTTCCAAATGATGATCATTAAGTTGCTACATATAAGCCATCAAATGACACTAAATGCAATGTATGGAATCATATATTGGCTTGAAAGAACTGCAAATCTCCAGTTGTTTTAGTCAGAATACCCCACCACATTGAATTAAGCCAGAAAAATTAGCAGTTTAAAACCTGAAGTAATTTGAAGGTCTCATAATCAAGATCTGCATGGTACCAATTCGCAGACTGGTAACTGAGACAGTCTAATTGAAAATCAAGCATAAGAATGCGAGCCATCTGTCTTTGGATGCATCCCAAAATGTTAAAACCCCTGGTGCGTGAACCTTTTAACCTTGTTGTAGCAGTAGGGTTTCTTCTACTCTCTAAAATTTCCTTGCTAGCTACCATTTCATAAAGGACACAATCATAGGATTCAAGTTCCTTTTGGAGAGCTAGAAAATACCTGCTTATATAAATTAGGATCATCCAAACTAAAAGTTATTTCTGCTTCAATATAAAACGTAAAAGAAACAAATAAAAAAAATGAAGTCAGTGCAACGAAAAGCACTTGTACTTATCAAAACAAAATCTTAAAGAATGTTCAAAACTAGAAAAGCGATTTTACTAATGACTTCACAAAAGCTAGTGTGTTATCATTAGTTTGGGGTGCGGTTTAGCAAAACATACCAAAGGTACAGCTTATATCAATCTCTCTCTCTTCCCATTGCAATTGAATGTAATGATATTAATTGTGTTCATCCATTTTATTATGAACTATCATATTTTGGGTGGGAAAATACTAATCAGCAACATCATTTAACAAACCATTTATATATACCCCTTTGATCACGTCCAACAATATCAAAGGAAGTTCACATTGTCAAATCCTAACCAAAAGTTTGAATTTAATCATTTAACACTTAATGTCATTGACCTTGTCCAAAACCACAAGGACTGCAAGCCAAATACTATCCAGCAACATCATTAAACAAACCATTTACATAAGCCCCACCCATCATCATCAATAATATCAATGGAAGTTCACATTGACAAATCCTAACCAAATGTAGGAATTCAATAATTAATATTTAATGTCATTGACCTTGTCCAAAATCACAAGGGCTGCAAGCCAGTGGTTTTCCAAACCTGCACATATATGTAAAAGCATCCTCATAAAACTACTAATGTACAACTTTGGTTGTGACATATTATCCTTGTTCATCTCAGAACTTCAGTCTCCAACATCCCACCTGTTCCCCAAAAAGACTTTCCCTAGTTCTTCATCACCAACAGAACCCCATGAATTTTTTCACTTCCTTTTTTTTTCCCATTTCTTCACCCTCCAACAACTAACACTGCCAGCATAATTAAGTTGCTTCTGAGAACTACCAAATCCAAAATACGAAAAGAAAAAAAAAAAAAAGCCTAGAAATACAATACATACTCTTCATCAGCAATGTGAATTGTTGAAACCAAGTCAACCTACAACACCATAAGAAACAACAGAACATAAAAAATAAATAATGGTAATTAAAAAAAAAAAAAAAACAGAAACCCATTTGAGAAAAAACAAGAAAGAAACAAACTTTAAAGTGACCTGAAGGAAAGGATTCAAAAGGGACCAAGGGAACTTTTTCCTATAGCTCACAAGAGCTGTCTGCAATTCGCCACTGCCACCATCGACACCACGCTTGAACCGCATGAAATCGGCAATGGAATTGTTCTGAAGGAACTGCTCCGGTGACCCACCTTGTTCTTCTTGGATGGAACCGTAAGAAGAAGAAGAAGAGGCTCTGAGGAGTACATTTGAAAGTGGTCGTTTTTTTAACCCAACAAAAAGGGTTCGGTTTGAGTTTGAAGAAGTGAAGGCTCTGATTCTGGTGGCAGTGGAAGTAGAAGGAGAATCAGAAGGAAATGAAGACGAACAAGAGATTATTGAAATTGAAGTTAACACCATTATTCTTCAACGCCTCTGCAGGCACAAACAAAGATAAAGTAGATTAGAGGGTGTTTGGATAACCAGAAAACTTTTATTTTTTTTATTTTTTATTTTATATTTTTTCCGGTCACCGAAAACCGACCCTGCTGCTCTGGGTTATTACAGTTAATAGTTAATACTATGGGTAACATCGCTATTGGATAAATTTTTTATCCAAATATCATGTGAATAATATTTATTATTAGCTTATCACATAACATAAATTGCTATGACTGATAGTGAATTGTGTTTGTTAATGATTTTGTGATACGTGAAACATTTTTAAAGAAAAAAATGATTAGACGAAATTCGCTACTAATAATAGAGAATTTGGTACGTAATGTAGTCACGTGTCACGAAATCATAGGCGACAAAATTTGCTACATGTCATAGCGAATTACGTCATGTGACTGTCTGGTAAGAAGTACTGTTCACGTGGCATTTAAATGAAAAATTTGTTAAAAAATAATAAGTTTTATAAGAATTATGTTGTAGAAAAAGTGATTGTGTAATGTTATAGAGATTTGTAATCCATATGGGTATTGGTGCTTCTTTTCGCACATTACATGGATCAAGTTTTGTCATCAGGAAGTGGAAAAAGTCCTCTTTTTTCTTAAAAGGATTTCAGAAAAAGCCTGGCTTTTTCATCCTTTTGTCCCTCATTAATTATTTAATAATCATTTTGTCCCTTATTTAGAACTATCTACTAATCTGCCCCTCTTTAATCGATTAAGCCAAAAATTTAATCGATTAAATGATCAAAATAGGCAAAAATCATTGACTTGAAGATTTAGTCGATTAAATCTCCCTATTTAATCGACTAAATCTCCCATGCATAAGGTTGTTCTTCTGATAAAGAGGAAGATTTAATCGATTAAGTTGATTAAATTTTCATTTGACCATTTAATCAATTAAATTTTTGGCTTAATCGATTAAAGAGGGGCAGATTGGTAAATAATTTACAATAAATGACAAAATAATTATTAAATAATTAATGAGGAACAAAAGGGTGAAAAAGCTGAAAAGCCTAGTTCATCGTTTAGGAAGCCTAGTGTTCAAAGGGATGGGTCTAAAGTTTTTGTTCAGATGGAGAAATCGGACGTCAATCAAGAAGTGAATTTTTATTGCATTTGAATACATGTACTCATTATTATCTATCCCAAGAAGATTTAATCGATTAAGTTAAAGATTTAATCGATTAAATCTTTAAATCAACTATTTTTGTCAGTTTTAACCATTTAATCGATTAAATCTTCAAGTTAATCGATTAAAGAGGGGCAGATTGGTAAATAGTTTTGAATAAGGGATAAAATGATTATTAATTAATTAATGAAGGATAAAATGGTAAAAAAAAAACCCAAAAAATAAGTGGATTTGATTAAAAAAATTTCTTCCCTTTATAACGAAACCCACTCACATTAGCAGGAAAAATAGAAGCATTAAACTCAAATATGATTCGAAATTTTTTCATTCGAACCTCAAACTAACATAAGAGGCGGTGTTATCTCGAACTCATACTAATTCTATATCAAGAAGAAGAAAAAAACTTAAGTGGCTCAATTTTGAGAAATACCAAGGTTGAACTAAATATTTTTTGTTTGTGATAAATAAAAGTATATATAATTAATTTAATTTAAATTACATTGTCATTTTAATTCAACAATATTTAAAGATGTGTTGATATTTTAGTCAGGTTTGGCTGTGAACCAAGTTTTTTGGTGAATATGTGTAGATATTTCAATGGATATTTCTTACCAATTTATCTTATTGGACTATGGTACGGTGAGATTCGTGGATGGGCCAAATTAAACTCCTTATTGGAGTTTAGCATACCAACTCAGTCATTCCACTAACAATTAATAGGCTAATTATAATTAAATGGGGGAAATTAACATGAATAGACAGCTAAATATTTGAAATTAACATAAATTTTCTTTGAGGGACCAAAAACTTTAAAACAATAAATTTTTAGGGACAAATATCTATTTACTCTATATTTAATTATCATTCAATTAAAATAATTTTATTTTTATTTATAATTATTATTGATTTAATGGACATAAATATATCATTTTAGCTTGCACTAATAACCAATAAAAATTATATATATTAATCTTATATTTTGCATGATATATTAATCTTATATTTTGCATGATATATATCATGTATTTTATCAAGTTATATTGTTCATGTAAATTTGGTGAAAAAAATTCACTATAAAAATATGTGCATCCATTAGCAAGAGGTAGATTCCGGGTAAAATGTTCAAGAGAAAAGTGGGTGACATATATATTTCGGGTTATGCTTCAAGTTGTGGAGGTAGATTCCGCAATATAAGAAGGAGGTGCAAATAGACTTTAATTTGCAAACTGATTTTGCGGGAAGCCACGAGAATATGTGAAACACTTCATCCTCACACAATGATGCCATAACTAAATCTAGAGACAAATGCTAGGATGAATAATAGAAGAGCTCCAAATTTAAGGTTCAACACCAATTATTCCATTGTTTAAAATCCTAATTGAATATCAACGTATTTGGACGGATTCTAAAATAATCATTTAAAATCTAATCAAATACTTTTTTCAATCCATTAAAATTCTAACCGAATATCAACGAATTTTTTTATCCAAAAATAATCTATTAAAATCCTTTGGAATCTCAATCCAATCCACCCTTGTTTTTGTAGAAGATCGTAAATGTAAAACAAAGATATGAAATTCAAATCACTGGGTTAATAGTCCAAGTACGGGTCAATCAAAACATTAGCTTGGAGACATGATGTCAAGTGCTTGTAATGACGGGCCAATCTAAACGTTCAGCATATCCTTGCTTCCTTTGTAGTTGCAATTGCGGAAATTTTTCCTGATGCTGGAGTTCTGGTTATTATTCCATGATTCCATCCATATCCACAATATCTGTAGCAATTGTAATTTAAAATTCAAATTATATTTAATTTATCTTTTATTTTAATTAGTTTTAAGTTTGTCTGATCTTATCTCATTAGCAGAATTAGTTATTTCATTTCAAATTATGTTATTGGATATTTTACTTGATCTATAAATAAATAGTCCATTAATCACGAGAGGAATCAATGAATTAACAAATCAAAATCTTATTTTCAAATTATCTCTTATTTCCTAATCTTTATCTTATTCTTCCCTTATCCCTCCTTTTTTTCTTAACCTAACTTCTCACATGCGCTTCAATCATTCTCCTTTTCCCCTAATATTTTTTTCCGTCTAATTTTTATATCTACGATATCCCTAGCACCCATCTATTCAGTTATTTTTATCACCAAAGCTTCGTCGACACTGCCACAAGAGCTGTCTGCAATTCGCCACTGCCACCATCGACACCACGCTTGAACCGCATGAAATCGGCAATGGAATTGTTCTGAAGGAACTGCTCCGGTGACCCACCTTGTTCTTCTTGGATGGAACCATAAGAAGAAGAAGAGGCTCTGAGGAGTACATTTGAAAGTGGTCTTTTTTTTAACCCAACAAAAAGGGTTCGGTTTGAGTTTGAAGGAGTGAAGGCTCTGATTCTGGTGGCAGTGGAGTGGAAGTAGAAGGAGAATCAGAAGGAAATGAAGACGAACAAGAGATTATTGAAATTGAAGTTAACACCATTATTCTTCAACGCTCTGCAGGCACAAACAAAGATAAAGTAGATTAGAGGGTCTTTGGATAACCAGAAGACTTTTATTTTATTTTTTATTTTTCCAGTCACCGAAAACCGACCCTGCTGCCTTGGGTTATTACAGATAACATTTAATACTAACACGTAATTCGTTATGATTAATAGCGAATTAATAATCTTATGATATGTATCACATTTTTGCAAAAAAAATAAAAATTGTTGAGACGAAGTCTGTTACTAGTAACAGCGCACTTATGATAAAAAATAATAGATGATATTTACAAAAAAAAAAAAAATAGATGATGAAGTTTGTTACTTATCATAACAAATTACGTTCTGTGGCATGACTTTATGATAAAAAGTACTCTTCACGTGATATTTGAGTAAAAAATTTGTCAAAAAATAATACTTTGATCACTGTTTTTTTTTTTTTGGTAATCTTGATCACTGTTCCTTACTAACACAGTAACACTCACCTCTACGTTCATTTGTATAAGAAAATTTTGTGTTCACCATTGTTGTATTGTTTTTCTATATTAGATCGAGAAGATCATAATCCTCCTACTCATTCATTAAAAATTATGTTAATATTTATTTATTTACTTTTAAAAAATGAGCCCTACATATTTTATATTTAAAAAATGAGATAACAAGTCTTCTCTAATACGAGATTTGTAATCTCTTTTGCATTTTGCTTTTATTGGTGAATAAATTTTACTCACACACCTATGGAAAAGTGAGTGGATTTATATCACTTATATATATTTTTTTATAATATGATTCATTTTTTTATGTAAATATGATAAAAAAAAATTATAGTAAAAACTGAAATATTAAAAAAAATTATTATAGGAGCATATGACTTGAATTTTCTACTCATTTAGTAGCTACTGAAAGTATAATTTCATATAAAATGTGATTTTTATCTTATTAAAATAGTTGTTATTTTTATATATTTCAAAAGTGTATGTTATTTTAAATTTGATATATACTAATAAAAAATTAAATAATAGTTTATAAATATGATATGTATTATATGAATATTTAATTCAACATATTTAAAGAGAACATGATTTAATGAGATAAAGTTATCTTCTATACATATATAAAAATAGGGGTATTCATCAACATATCCAAATCAATTCAAATTACGGTGATCGAACCAAAAATTCGATAACCGAAAACTGAAAAATAAAAAATAAAAAATATCAAATCTTAATTGGATTGGATCAATTTCCAGTTTGGTTGGTGAAAACCGATTCTATCCAAATCGATCCAATATATTAATTCTCTCTACCTACTTGGGCCTATTCCTCATAGTCTAAAAAATTCTAAACCCAAAAACACATTAACCCAACAGCTAAACCTAACA